GGAGAGGGTATAAGTGGGCTGGAGTTGCGGCCTGGAGGGATATGAGAGAATTTTTTGTTGGAATTCTGCCTAGCTGGAGCTGCGGTTTAGGGTTGAAAGGAAACAAAGGAAAAAGGAGGAAGAAATGGAGAGTAGGGAGAAGAAAGAAAGCGGCTGAGGTTTAGGGTTGAAAAGAAGACAATGGAAAAAGGAGGAGAGAGAAGGAATGGAGAGTGGCGTGAGTAGCACGAGGGCCGACGAAAAAAAGCCTGGCACGCGAGGAGCACGAGGGCCGACGAAAAAAAATGAGCCTCAGGCCGACGAAAAGAGCCTCAGACCAAAACCCCCACTCGCTCTTATTCTATATATGTTGAAAAAAAAAAACAAAATTTTTAATCAAAATGTTGCTGTGATGTAATGTAGAAAATTCATGGATATTATTGGAGATTGAGATTTGTCCAAGTCATCCTCTTAAAACAGTTATCAGGGCCCTCATGTGTGCATTATTGGATCAAGCTGATTGATTCATGTTAGCGAGTCCACACGTCTCATCCTCTTATATTATATTATTAAATTGGCAGATGAATGCACCAGCTCGGATGCAACACTACTGCCTGCTTAATTCTGATTATTTAACCATCAATTTCATTGGCAATTGTTAAAGTATTTTCTTCCAAATACAAAAATTGGCTACGACTTAACGATACTGGCCTGCCAAGTGTATCCAATGACAGAAGGCGACATGTAGTTAACCCCCACCGTCCACAGGTCCCCCCCCCCTTTCCTCATCCTTTTCGGTTCTTGCCCGATTAGTCAATCTCAGCCAGTGTTTGACAAGAAGAATTAGGTTGAGAAGTCCATGCCAAAAAAAAAAAAAAGGCTATGCATTTGAAACGAGTGTTGATAAATATTTGTATTCGTCGAGTCGATTCTCGATTTGATCTCAAATTAAGCGTGTATAACAAGATTATTTGCCTTCTTAGAGTGAGAGAGAAATAAAGACTAATAAATAGGGATTAGAAAGACTAAACACAAAGAAACACGTGTTATACATATTTCTTCTATTTCTCCAAACAAAGCAATTCACAATAAAGAAATTATGACTATATTGATGATGGGTGTTAAACACTGAAATTAAAATTCCTACTCTAAAATCTTAAATTCAAGTATCGCAGTGAGTAGGATCATCTCCTCATATATCGGACGATTTATCTCCTCAAGAGTAGTAGTTAACTAGGGGTTTTAGGAGTATTAAAACTAAACAATCAACGTAAATAAAAATAATCAAACGTAAGCAAATTAAATTTAAATCAATAATAAACAAGTTATAGTCAAAGAAAAAGTTTCGAAAGTAATTCATACAGCTGCTTATTGATGTAATAATTATTTCATTTATTCGTTAATAAATATGTTATAGTTACTAAATACGCACCTTAACTACTTGTGTAATCAAGAAATAACTATAGGTACGCCCATAGAATTTAATTTTTGGACTGTATTAAAAACTAAGTCTATATTGAACATTGAAACAGTCTAAACAGATGACATCCGAGGAAGACTTTTTTGTTGCTATTGGAGAAGTAGTCCGACCCTTGCGATTCTCCAGTTTCAATGAGACGGAGGAAGTAGCACTTGTTCCTCAATCACACGACGGTTAATTTATACTCCAATTCAGGAAGTGCCGAAGTAGCAATAATTTTCATCCAAAGTATGTGGCAGTGGCGGAGCTAGGAATTGTAATTAGGGGTGCGAGTCTCTGTTATTTGGACCAAGTCCAAATAACTTTCAAACATTATTGTTTGGGTCCTTGAGAGGGAGCCAAAGTGAAATTTTTTATCAATTTTGGGGGGGGCAAAACAATATAATAAAATTTTTTTTTATAACAATTGGAGGGGGGTAAAGTGAAATTTTTTATCAATATTTGGGGGGGCAAAACAATATAATAAAAATTTTTTTACTTAGAAATTTTTTTTTTAACAATTGGAGGGGGGGCGGTTGCCCCCCCTGGCCTCCCCCTTCCCTCCGCCCCTGTACTGGTCACTTTTCATTTTGATCGTTTCTTCTTGGTACATGCAATACAAAACTGGAAATCCGATGGGGGCAGTTTAAGGTTATGCGATGGCATTCATTCGAGTTCCCGCACATGACATGTCACGGTCGGCAGCCCTCCTCCACCACATGGCACGACGGAGTAGTTCATTTTCATTTACTTAATTCCCATAATGACCTTGTGAGATAGGATTCATATTGTTAAAGATGCGAATCCAGTCGCTTGTGGGAATTATTATGTTAAAAAAAAAAAATGTTTTAAGCAGATGCACCTGCACCAGATAATGCCAGATACACGGCAGTAGAAGTTTTTATGTCATCCTTGGCTCCACGTAACTGCATATGTGGAATAAATTATTGACATTTAATGATTTCATCCTATGGTTTTCTTCAGAAATGGGACTGTGCAGAGAATTTAAATGGAAATGTTATAAGATCAGATTTCTTTCTCACTTTTTCTTTTCCTTTCTAAATTTCGTATTTTTGGATAAGAGTAAATTAGAAAAATTCATGAGGTGCAATTGGTTGACATTAGCGATTTGTCTGGCTGTAGTGATTATATCAATCTTCCACGTCAGGAAGGACAGCGCAGCGACTCGACTGCGCTTGGAGATTTCTACGCGGGCATATAGAGCCTGCCTGTCCCGGTTAAATCCTTTCACTAAAAGAAAACTAGACAAAATTAAAGACAAGTTATGTACAAAATATATATATATATTTTTTACACAAGAGAGTATAGATATACGATACAGTCCTTTTATTTGTATTTAAAAATTTTCCGTTTACACATGTATGGATTTAGATATGCGATGCATTGTCTTTATTTATAATTAAAAGTTTTCCTTTACGTGTGTGATGAATTTTGACTCGTTCCTGCAAAGAATATTGTAAGTACACTACATAAGTGTTCAAAATTTGATTGGAGCCGGAAAATTTGATTATTGAATAAGCAAATTATGCATTTTTTTTATGGGTTCACTTTTTATTATTTATATATTATGGTTGTTATTTAATTGTAATAGTAAAAAAGAGATATTATTTAGTTTTTTAAAAATGTTTTTGTTGATTTCTTCTTGAGCTTTTGTGCTTTATCCAGAACAAATAGTTGTATGTCAGTATGGCCGTTATCTTTTTACTAATTTTGCTTGTAAAATGTTGGCTAAAGATAAATTTGAGTTGCTTTTGGAAACCTCCTATTTGAATTGCTATTTTTTAGAGTTTTTTTTTTGTAATAGAAAAATGTATTGTAACAATTTGATATATGTAAGTTAAAAAAATAAATATGTTCACAGAAGTAGAAATTCTTTTGGGAAAAAATGACTTTCTAAACAAGAAGGTTTCAAGGGAAAAAATAGCTCATAGACAAAATTAAAATATTGCAATGCAAATCAAAGGATGTTTAGAATGAAAAAAGTGATATAATAAATGTCCAAAAAGGCACCAAATAGCTGATCAACAAAACAACAATGACAGAAAATACCAAAGACAGACAGTGACTTGAAGCAACATGACAGAAAAAACTAAAGACATTAATGACTTAAAGCTTAGAGAGAAGAAAAAATAGGATGAAAACGAAAGACGAAGCAACATGCAAGAGCAAGAATAAGATAAAAACAAAAGAAGAAGCAACATGGAAGAAACAAAACAGCAATAATGCACAAAGTACATCTATGTATAATAGATAATGTACATACAAAATATGCATAAAAAAACAAAAGAAAGCCAGGAAGGAGAACCTGAAGAGAAGTTAAAAAAACCAGTGCAGATGAAGAGAAAAGAGCAATGTCTTCTGGCGCTTTTTTTTTTTTTTTTTTACCACTTGTAAAACTGAAACCAAATTTTGGAGTTGAATGATAAGCAAAGCCAAAGGCAAAGCGGCGGGCAAAACTGATGCAAACCAGTCTCGAATGTTATACAAATACGATTAAGAAGAAAAAAAGATCATGTAAGTAGCATCTTAAAGGAGAAGAGAGTAATTACACTATGTTAATCACTATTTACTGATTAAGGCCTGATTCGCATCCAACAAAACAAAAGGTCTAAAGACTCTCCAGCTAATGAGAGTGGGCAACCACACAAAAGGAATCTAGCAGGGCAAACGTACAAGTAAATAATACATTGGTTAAGGCAGCACTTGAAAATAAACGGTCTATTTTTCTTTTTTCTTTTTTCTCCGAAATGCACTTGAGAAGGGAACTACAGTAAAGTTGCAAAGTGTTTCTTATGAGTTGAAGGATGTTCTTTTTTATTTACAATCTTTTTTTTTTTAAATTTTAAGTGGAGTGCAGTTCAAAATGCTTTTTTTTTTAAAAAAAAAATTATGGTTAATATGCACTTGAAAATCAGCTGTTATTCACTTTGTTCTTCATATTGAGCGTAAATATAATTATATATATTAAACAAGATTTTATATTAAGTGAACTGGGCAAAATTACATTAAGTCAAATAAAAACACTTGAAAAGGGAAGTACAATGGAAGCACAAGTCAAAGAAATAAAAAAAAAAATTGGGATCTTGCATTTTGTTCAACATTTTTTTAATTTCATTTTAAGTGAGGTTGGCTTGAAAATCACCTACAGATGCACTTCAAAAGGAAACTACAGCACGGAATACTCGCTAATGCCTTCCATGTGCTCTGAATATCCAGTCCATTATTTGGAATAATTTTTTTTTTAGAAAAAAATTATTATTGTTACCCGTTTTTTTAATACGATGTATGCAAGTGGTTGAAAATGAGTTAATGATTAAAGCAAAATTTTTTCGATGATAAAGCAAATAAAAACTTTTCCACGACTTCTCTCTGCAGTACGACACCAATACTTTTTTCTAGTCTTCTAGTCTTATCCATCACCAGTTCCAGTTACCAATTACCATACCTTTGGCATGCATATATAGCTAGCTCCTCGCAAGCCTAAACCAGAGGAAAAACTTGATTTGTCATCTTTTCTGATTCCGTCTTGGCAAAGAGTAAAATGGATGGCAATGAGAGTAGGCATCACGCTGTCCCCGACGACTCAAAAGCCCCTCTGCTTCCAATATCTGATTCAATCACCGTCAAGTCATCCCACAGCCTCAATTCATGTATTCAATCCGTCTTCACCCTCCAAAACTTCTTCATTCTTTTAGGCCCCTTACTGTGCGCCGTTATTTGCCTGTGCGTAAAATTTGATGGTCCGGGGAGTAGTGGGACCGCCACCGCCGCCACCAGCCGGAACATGTTGGGTGTTCTGGCGTGGATGTTCGCTTGGTGGCTCACGGAGGCCGTTCCGATGCCCATCACTTCCATGTCGCCCCTCTTTCTCTTTCCCCTCTTCGGGATTGCTTCCTGCGACGATGTTGCGGAAGCTTATATGGATGATGTGATTTCCCTCGTCCTTGGAAGTTTCATACTTGCTCTGGCTGTTGAGCACTATAACATACATAGAAGATTGGCCTTGAACGTGAGTTCTCCTCGTACCCATCAATTAATTAAGTACATGTTTCTTGCTCCTTTTTTTTTTTTTTGTTTCATTTGGATTTTATTGTTTGAGTTTTGAAACCAATATTTCAAAACTTGGAATGAATGTTTTTTTTTAATGGATTTTGGATCGTTCTACTGGTTGGGATTTTCCAGTTGTGTCAGCTTGCCGTTTTTTGTTTTTTGTTTTTTTTTTTCCCTGGTGGACGTTTTTGCTTCCACTCGTTCACGTCCAACCACAGATAATATTTGTGTGCCGAATTAAATTTTCTGTTTTTAACAAGAATTTTGTGAAGCAGAAGGAAGTAGAACAAAAGTGTCTACTTTAAGAAAAGGTTGAGATTGCTCATCATGCATGTCCACATTCATTAATGCATACACAATCAATTTTGCAAAAAAAATAAAATTCATATTTTTGACCTATCAAACTCCATTTAAATGTCAATTACTGTACTCTCTTTTTTTGTTTATTTTTTTTTAACCCAAAATACTTTTAAAAGCATAATATGCATTGCAAATGGATCAATTACTACTAAATCTGTTTCGAATATTTTAATTAATGAAGGGGAGGACAAAGTGACAGATGTAAAATCCGAACCAAACAATTCCAACCTAATTGTCCCCTCCCATCTTTTGACTCATCAACCTACGTCCATCCATCATCATCACAGGACCAAAACTGCTAGCTAGCTAGTCAGTACCATGTTGTCCTGCCCTTAAAGCCCAGGACTTTTACAGCTTCCGATTCTGCTCAAAGATCGTTTCTTTCAATTTTTATTTATGATTACAAGTCTAAAGTTTCATCTGATCTACTGTGCAGGTCCAATGGCTTTTGCTGAAAAGATGGTTCTAGCCGTGTTTTCTGTAAGTCTAGTCTGGATTTAATTAGTGATCAAATGTTGATTAACTTCAGCTACTTGATTTCTGATTTTGGGCTAGTTGTTACTGTCAGATATTGATACTGTTATGGATGACGAGAAGCATCACAGATGATACTCCCGGATGGGGCGCTCTATTCAAGGGGCGCGCTGGTGATGGAACTGTTAGTGTAAGTGTTATCCTACCTTGATGCTTCTTGGCTTCTTGCCAGCCATATTAAGGTAGTAGTTTCTGTTTAGATAGCTTTAAGCGCTTGGTCTGCGATGTGCGCAGGTGATGATGGCAACCCTGTTGTTCATAATTCCAAACAAGAAGCAGAAGGGAGAGAGATTAATGGACTGGAACAAATGCAAGAAGCTGCCATGGAACATCGTACTACTCTTAGGGGCAGGCTTTGCAATAGCTAATGGAGTGAGGTCAAGCGGGCTGGCAGACATCTTATCCAAGGCTCTGGATTTCTTGGAGGCTGCCCCATACTTGGCCATTGCTCCAATTGTTTGCCTGATTAGTGGGACAATCACCGAATTCACATCTAATAATGCCACCACAACCCTTGTAGTCCCACTCCTGATCCAAATTGCAAAGACGATGCATTTGCACCCACTCCTCCTCATGGTGCCAGGTGCCATTGGGGCACAGTTTGCTTTCTTGCTCCCAACAGGAACTCCTTCAAACATTGTGGGTTTTACAACCGGACATATTGAGATTCCGGACATGATCAAGACCGGATTGCCCCTCAAGATTGCTGGCACTTTAGCGCTGTCTATTTTGATGCCTACTCTTGGTAATTTAATGATCCTCTTCATTTCCTCCTCAATCAAGGTTTCTTTAGAGCATTTTGCCTGATAATCTTTCATCGCATGTTGATGTAGTAAAATTGAGGTACTGGACTTTATTGTCATGTAGGCCTCTCATGAACAAGATTCTGTGACATTTACTTTATTGTCTCTTCTTGCAGGTACTCTTGTATTTGGAACGGACAAAGAAGTTGTACACATGACAAACGGTCCCTTCCTGCACAGGCATCGAATTTGAGCACTCAGCCATTATGGTTGTTGTTTATTCATTAAGCAAGCTTTACTTTCTATTAGACGCGAGCTTAGAATTTTTTATTTTATTTTTTTTTTTTGGGGGTTTTCTTTTTCGTCCTCATCCATTCTGTATTTATTTGTAAGATTCTATTGTGGGGTCAATAACTTCGTAGGGCTAAGGAAATAGTCATGTACTACTAATGAATAGAGAATGCTGCTGCATTTTCAGCTAGTTTTCAATGGAAGCTTGTGAGTTTCGTATGATTTTCAATTGTGGCGTCGTCTTCTTTTTCTTTTATTATAGTGAATTATAAAAATTTCTGCTCTTGGTTTTCTCCAAGGATGCTAGAGCCAAATTACGTGATGATTATACACGTTTTCTTACCCCAACCAAAAAAAAAAAAGGAAAAATATCTAAAAAATAAATTGATGCCCCCAACATAATAAAAGAAAAGAAGTAACAAAAAATTATCCATCATTCTTACTTCTTACCAACAAGATGAGAAACAAAAAATAAATAAATAAAAATAAAAGGACCATCCACCACCGACAAGCTGAAACACGTTTTCCACTGGAGATGTGATGGAGCCAAGGACAGGTCAATTTGCCAATAGAGATTAAACGAAGGTCCATATATTTTGCCACTAATAAGGAAAACAAAACCTCTACATTTATTCAACTTTTAAAAGGAAAGAAATAACTGCTATCAAAAGAAAGGAAGGAAATAATTATTATTTGTAACAAAAAATCAAGAGAACATTTATTCATAATTTAATACAGATTCCATGATGATAAATTACTACGTCTCAGCACAGTCAAATTGAAACCCATCCACCAGTACCAACGCATAAAACATCAAAACAAACGTAGCCTTCGGGAATGGTTTTTGACTCCAATTCCCGCAGGTTTGATTTTGGTCTGATTCCGGTTCAAAATTGAACTGTGGTTGATATCTAAACTGGAGCCAAGGACAGTAGGCCAGGTCATGCTCAGGCTGTATGGCATTGAGCCAGCCATCGACGCTAAAATAACATCCTACTGATCTTATAAACTGTACTATTTAGCCACTAATTAAGGAAAGTAAAATCTGTCTTTTCATTAAACATTTTACCACAATGAATGAAGTCAATAAATTGTTTCGTAACAAACACGGAGGATGTTTTTCTTCTATAATTGATCAGGATCAGGGATATAAATAACGCCCCCAATAGATTGAAACCGCCCGTTCAAAATCCATCCATCCATCCATCAGCCCCTACACCAATAACCGACGCTGCAAGAATGGCTTCTGCCTTTCCCCATCTCCTCCTACTCACCACCCTGGCAGCTATCTGTCTTTTCTCCGACGTCCCTTCCGCGGCTTTGGGCGGTCGCCCCAAAGATGCCTTAGTCGGCGGTTGGAGTAAGGCTGACCCCAAGGACCCAGAGGTGGTAGAGAACGGAAAATTTGCCGTAGATGAGCACAACAAGGAGGCCAAAACCAAGTTGGAGTTTAAAACTGTGGTGGAGGCGCAGCAGCAAGTGGTGGCCGGCACAAATTACAAGATTGTGATTAAGGCATTGGATGGCACTGCTTCAAATCTGTACGAGGCCATTGTTTGGGTCAAGCCCTGGCTCAAATTCAAAAACTTACTTCCTTCAGGAAACTTCCCTGATCAGATTTAAGAGGATGTAATAAGCATGTGTATTTCTTGCTTAAAACTGTGGTATGGGAGATGTATGTATAATCATGTGTAGTTCTTGCTTAAAACTGTGGTATGACTATGAGAGATGTTTGAAGTGTACTACAAGAGCTTTCATACATATGCAAGAGTTGAAGCACTTGTTTGCTTCTGATAATAATAATAATACATCGTTTTATTTGATCCATCCATCATTTGTTTATCGGCTTGTTTAATTTAATCCTGTGTGTATCCTGCTCTAAATCTTTTTTTTTTCTCAGTTAATCCTAGAACCTTTTATTTTCTTAGTTAATCCTAGAACCTTGCCTGAAGAAAGCCAAAATGATCTGCGTAATAGCGGTCTCTGTCGCTTGAGTGGTGGAGTGGGATGATAAGACGACTGAGAGAGTGCAGTCTACACCTGGGAATGCAACTTTACCAGGGTCAAGCCCACAATTAACGCCATGCTCATGAATCAGAAGTCTCTCCTTTTTTTAAAAATAATATAATAATAATATGAATGAGAAGTCTTAACCAGTCTTCCCAAAGCAGCCAACCCAAGCATCAGAAAACCGTATAAAAAGAGGTCTCCAATTACCACTGAATCACAAATCTTATGATCTATTGATATTAAGCATGAAAAATTACAGTACCAGTTGGGAAATCATCGAGTGCATGACCATTGTCATTATCATCGAGTCCCCATGTTTTCTTGTTTCGCTACCATCCATGTTTACTGTGGGCCTGCTCGGATCATGTATGTAATCCTTACCTAATTTAATTTAGTTTTTCAGTTATCGTAAAATATTGTCTAAAGATAAACCAATCTATCTTGCCTACACTTGGAGGTTGATCCGTCCAACTCCACTCAATGAATATGTTTAGGCATGTGATACATTTTGAAGGGATTAAATGAGTGACTCAATTAGACCAATTTAAATAGTAGGTAGTAGGTTGAGTTGCATCACCCATTTATGTCCATTTAAAATTTAAAAAATCATTCAAAATATCCCTTACATTTCGTAAAATGAATTTTTCAGCCTTCACTTGTAAAATGTTAACTTTACGTCTCTAGATTCAAGCTACCAAAATTTAGTTCCAATTAAAGTTTTCGACCGCTTTTTAGCTGAAATCACAGCACGTCCACATGAAGTCATGTTTTATGTATAAAAATGTCAAATCCCACAATTTTAGTGGCAACAATGATTATATATTTGATTGGATCTTACTTTTTTAGGGAGAAAAATGAATATATTCAGGCTAGATTCTATTTTTCTATGAGCAAAAATAAATATACTTAGATCAGATCATTTGTTTGACTATAAATAGGATCTAATTTTTTTTGCCAATAAAAAAATAACCATATATGAGTCATGTAATGGATTTAGAGTAAAAACTAGTCGAAAACTGAGGTTGGGATCAAATTTTACTAATTTAATTTTGCAAGGGATGTAAAGTTACCATTTTAAAAGTGAAGGACAAAAAAATTTATTTGACGAAATGTGAAGGATATTTTGAATGATTTTTCCTTTAAATTATACATTCAAAATTAATTTTTTGGTAGGTGTTGAGTGGATAAATTTGAATTTCTTATCAAACCAATAGTAATAAAGTATCGATATTTCTTATTAAATAACAATCAAAAAGAAAAAGAAAAAGAAAACAAAAAAGTAAGTGAATTTTAAGCAGGCCATATTGGTAATTAGGTGTACCCATACCCTTTTGAGAATATACACATTTTAGTGCATTTATTAGATAGATAGAAATAAATTCAACCAATTATGATCAGTCTCTCGTGAATCACCGATTTTCACACTTTTACCTAACCTTGAGAAACAAACGAAGACCCGAAATGACAAACAGTTAAAATTTTAAAACCGAACTCAAATAGGGAGCTGATCATCTCTCATGGGCTTGTAACCTTAGTTTAGTAATATCAAATTTGTGAGATCATAGACAGGCTCAATTGAGCTAAGTTGCACCCATTCCGTACAATTCAACCTTGATCCAAAATAATCTTGATTCAAATAATTTTATTGTTTCAAAGAAATAAAACAAGGCTGTTTGGATTCATGAGATTCAAATAGCCTGTTTATTCATGGAGGGGGAGGGTTGGTGGTAAAATGGGAGGGATTATAAGTAGAATGTTTTGGGTTCAAACCTTCCCACTTTCTGAAAAAAAAACAACAAAAACTGTTGATTTTAAAATTGTCAATTGCATTGCCATCATAACTTGGTTACTTGGGTAATTACTGAGAGCCCTAAAAAATTAATGAAATCCTAGGGACCAAACTTAGGTGAGGCAAGGAAGGGCCACCGCATTACGTAGTAGGGGTGATGTTAAATCAAGTAGCTCAACTTGAACTAGAGCTACTAAAAAATACCGTCCGGTCTATTTCGAACTTAAGAATCAAGTACTCGACAGCTTGATGAGCTCTAATAGAGTATTATATTAAATAATTAAAAAATAAATATTACACACACACACACATGCACGAAATGGACAATATCTTTTTTTTTTGTCGATACGATAGCTTCCTACGCTATGGGAGGGGGAGGGTTTAAAGAGATCTTGAGGTAATTCGGAAGGGACTGAACTACCACGGACCAGACATGTGCATTATGCACCCACCTTGATTTTTTAAGCAAGACCACATTTAATTGTGACAAATTGGTGGCCCACCAAGCCTTAATGCATTGGTGGTGGACAATACCTGCTTGGCATTGTTTTTGAGTCTTGTCAAGTATTTTTGCAACTTCCTTTAGTCAAGTTTGAGCTGGAGTTTCTTGACTCGTTCGAACTCAAGTTCGAGTTTAAATGACATTCATATCCTTCGAGTGAGTTCAAACTCGAGTATGGCGCTACTTGTGCTCGGCTTATTTTGACAGCCCGCCTACCATGGGTGGTGAAGGATCAAGAATGCACTTAGGGCGCGGTTTCCATGGATTAATTATGCTTATGGTAGACCTTTGTGATAAATTATTTGGAGATAAGGCGGCCCATACCAACTGATGTGTGAAATGTATGTGAAGCAGGGGTGTTAAGAAACCATCAAATAAGTTTAGTTATCTTTTGGACGCTTTCCCCGTACATATTTAACAAGGTTCAATCTATTTTTGTAACTTTGATAACAGGATAAGCACACCGACAAAAATTGTAGTTCTACTATCTTCTCAGAAAAGAAAATTTTTTTTTTTTGAGGGGTCTACTATCTCAAATCAGTTATGCAAAATTATCTCTGAAGACAAAGTATCCATTCTGTGGCTTGCAGTCCTTATAAGGTGTAAAACTGAGCCAGACTCTCTGCCCACTGAACTTCTTCAAAACCAAAATAATGTGTAGAAGATCTTTCAAGCATCTCCTTTTTAACCAAATCCCTTGGGGCACCATTTTCTGCTTTGGTTGCTTGAACCTCTGGCCTAATCGGGATACAAAGCTATTTCATAACAGGCCATCTTGTGAAGATCCTGATAACTTCTGCTTGTAAGATTTGACCATATGTTTCTATATTTATGAATCAATTTCAACACTCCCCCTTCCCCCCCCCCCCCCCCAAAAAAAAAAAAAAAAAGAGTTGTTACTAACTAGATTGCTACACAACATTCCGTCAGAAAAAAGGATTGCTACATAACTATTAACTACATGTTTAGTTTAGTGAAAATGTTGGACCACATTGGGCCTTGACTTTTACACAGAACGAGTGGTAAATATATGAGCAACTCCTTTTCTTTTTCAAATCACTCGTGAAGAAAATCAGCTGAAATCTTGAGTGGTTTGATTCAAATTTCATGCCTGTATCTCATGGAACTAGTCGGTTTTTCAAAGATGTCATTGTCTTAGAGTCTAACAGATAAGCTTTTTTTTTTTTTTCTGAAGTGAAAAACGTCAAACTAATAGCCCAGTAAAATATAATTATCCACACACAGCTAACGATTAATCAAAAAGTTACGAAAGAATCTGAGCTTATCCAAAATCAGATCCTTATGGTGATAATCAAATTGGTCCCAAAATGGGCAATAGTGCTTCAAAAAATTGACTGGCTAGTTGATTTTCGATGATCGATATCATTAAAAAATCACAGCAACAAAATTGGCATCGAAGTTGATTTTCAAAAGTGGATTTCATTAAAAGCCAAGCAATAATAGGCACTCTGGCCGTACGTGGCTCTACAATTCTTCACTAACAAGCACAAATTAACAAGAGTTAGGACAGAACCCACCTGTTCTCTGGCTCCACCATAGACATACCAGAAGGTATATCAGGGATATCAACCCTTTTTTTTAAAAATTTTTTTTTTTTTTTTGATAAAACATCATAATTTCGTTAAAATCTACACCAATGACAGAAATTATATCATCAAACATATATAGAAGTTAAAGAATAGATCTGAAAAATAAATACTACACCTATGAAAGACAAAAAAATAACACTATCTCAGGTTCTCAAACTAATACAAGGGGTTTGGCGTTATCAACTCATGTAAGTAGATGCAAATCAGCCGACTCATGTAATGATTTTTTTGATAAGTTAACTTTATACGTAATCCGATTTTTTTTGCTAATCTTTGTTTTCTATTTTTTGATTTTAAAATTAACAATAAATACAAAAGAAATGCCCAAAATCACTACTAAATTATGATAATCTCACTACTCAAAAAATTTATAAACTCTGAATCAATTATTTCAACATTTTATTTTCTATCTTGTAAATTCATAATAAAATACCATCAAAAGTATCATATCATAGTGATAAAATTATTATTATAGTTGTTTATCAAATAGTATATATGGACATGAAAAATTTGACACCTTTTCCTTATAATTATATTAGATTATCTTATAATTCTATAGGAAACTAAATTAAAATTCATTATACAAGAGTATTTTTGGGTATTCATTTAAAAATTTGACTAAGTCAATATTATTTTAAGATTTTGTTACTAAAACTATCAAATCAAGGGAGGTATGTATAATTTTTAAAACTTCAAGAGAGCTCAGGGAAATTATCAGAAACCTCAGGGGAGGTTTCTGAAATTATCCCAAAAATTTTGTTGTCTAAGCCGACGAACGGAAACCTATTTTATTATGAGGGGTTCATTTAAAATTATCGTTGTAACGCTTGCTCCGCGTCACAAGTCACGCTTTCTCTCGATGCTGCAATAAAATCCAAAAAGGTTCGTATTCATGTGGTCGCAGATATATCCAAAGATTTGAGCTAAGCAAATTCAAAGTGGCTATTACTAGTGGCAGTACATTTCCCAGAAGAACTGCAGGGGACGATGGAATCTGATAAACCGATGCCCCGACACGAAACATACCAGTAAACTGTTAAACTTGTTTTTTTTTTTTTTTCCCAAACCCAGGAGAGTGATGGGAATAAAAAGGAAAAAAATGAGTTGAGAAACAAATATCTTTAGCTTAATTTAGGTTTAGAAAGCAACAGTTTTTAATGCAAATCTGGAGAAGTTAAAAGTGGATAAATAGTGGGTGGAATTGGAAATTAGAAGGGATTAAAAATAGGGGTTTGCTGGTCAGGTGGAACCTCAGCTGCGACGCACGGAGCCTCGGCGTCGTCAGCTGCATCAGTGACTCAGAGGCAACAGCACCAGCAGCAGCCGCCGCCGCCTCGAAGGCTCCCATCGTCGGCGGCATCGGATAGCAGCGACGGTAACGGTGGCGGCACTGGTAGTGGGAAAAAGATGAAGGGCTTGTTTAAGTCCAAACCCAAGACCCGGCTGACCTCGTTCGTCAGACTCGGGATCTTCTCATCTATGTCGATCGCGGCCCCGATGCCACGCGCGAGACCAAGCGCGAAGAAAAGGTAAAGCTCCCTTTTTTTTTACGCTTCTATTTTGTTTAGGTTTTCTAGCTCTTCGGTTTTCCCTTGCTTCTTTTCTTGTTGTTTAATTAGAGGAAAGAGCTGATCTGGGTATGATTTAGATTTTTTTTCTTTTAAATGGAATTGTGTGCATTTTTATGTGAATTTAAATTATGGTTTTTTTTTTGGGAAATGCTAGATGAAGTGGAGTTAGATGTTCTAGATAGGAATGGAAGTGTTGCAACTGGATTCAATTTTTCTTCCGTGTTTTTTGTTTTTTCAATTTTTTGGATGAGGAGGGGTGAGAAAGTGGTCGGGGATCGGATGCTGAGAATCTAACCATCATGGTAGGACGAGTTTGGAATTTAATATTCTATAATAGTTAACTGTTTCGTGCTGTATGTATACATTTCTGGTTTTTGGCAAGAATATCCTGTTTCTTTGTTGAAGTGAATGTATTTAGTGGGAGTTTTGTGTGTGGATGTAGGTCAGCTTATAATCTGTGTTTATTTAGTTATTGAGACTGTAGCCTTTTTCAAATTGACGTCTGCAGATGACGGAATTAAGCAAGCTTGTCAGAGAATTGAAGTCAATTCTTTATGGAAATAGTGAAGCTGAGCCTGTAACAGAAGCTTGTGCGCAACTGACCCAGGAGTTCTTCAGAGAGAACACACTACGCCTCTTAATCATCTGTCTGCCAAAGTTAAATTTGGAGGTAAGTATGATGGATATTCTTCTTAAATCCACTCTGTCCATTTAGTGCTGATTTGTGATGACAACCATCATCACCTATTTTCACTATTCTCGCTTTAAGGTGCGTTGGAAGTGGAATTTGGATACTTTTTATTTCTGCTCATTGTTGATTCTGACATGGTTATCCTTTCACAGACCCGTAAGGATGTTACTCAAGTTGTTGCAAATCTGCAGAGGCAGCAGGTCCAGTCACGATTGATTGCCTGTGATTACTTGGAAGCAAACATAGATTTGATGGATATTTTGATAGGCGGGTAAGCAGCTGTTTTAGAGCTTTCGGAACGTTGTATTAGTGAATTTGATGAATTCCTGGATTTGACTTTTCTCGTTTCAGTACCCTTTGGAATGTTAATCCGATTAATCTAGGTTTAGAATGATATGCTTTTCACAAGATTCTTGAGCAGAAGTCATTGTGTTACTTATCCACATCATGTGTTGCGAGAGGAAATAATTTATCTCATGTCGAGTTTGATATGTCATTATGCATTTATCTGGCTGTATTTTCAATAATGAGTTCCAGTCAATGAGAGATGGAACTCAGCAAGCTCATGTAATTGTGAAATGAATGTGATCTTTTATATGTATAGATAGAGAATACTACAACAACTTCTGATGGGAGTATTTTCTTGCTCTTTTTTTTCCCACCGTGGGGGTGATAATTAAGTAATGAAGAAGAAACTCTGAATCTCAGTACAGTGTAGTATATAAAGCAAGTTAAAATCTACATTACATTGGGTACTGATATAGTAGAGTTTTAATTGGCATCATCTTAAGTTGCAAACATTTGCTCTCATGCAAAGTGCCTTTCTTTCTAATTACACAGCTTAAAAGTCATTCATTTATGTCTTTCTAAATATCATCTCTGGAAGATGTGTTTTTGGCTGTTCCCCGTGTCTTAACTTTACTAGAAGTGGGGTTTCTTGTTTCCCCTCATTGTTGAATTATTGTCTTTTTTCTTATTTTGGGTTATTTAACTCATTCATCTTTGATGTTGGATTATTCAGTTATGAGAATCAGATATGGCTTTACACTATGGTGCTATGCTTAGAGAATGTATACGCCATCAGACTGTTGCAAGGTGCCGAAAGTTAATCTTTGTTTTGGTTGTAATTTTGCTTATTTGATTTTTGGGCTTAAGTATTGGAAAGGGAAATAACACCATACGTTTGCCTCCTGTTTTTGGCTCTGATTATTTGACAGTAATCTTCTTTATGAGCTGTTTTACCTATTTAACTTCCATATTCTAAAACTTGCCATCATTCACAGGTATGTCTTGGAATCGGAGCATATGAAGAAATTTTTTGATTATATTCAACTTCCAAATTTCGATATTGCTGCTGATGCTGCTGCAACTTTCAAGGTAAGGTGCTTCTGACTAAGAGCGCAAGAGCTGTTTTACTAGAGAAAGTCCTTTTTCCTGTTAATGTGTAAAGCAAATGTATATAAGCTGTGCTTAGGCTAGTTTCCCTTCCTTCCATAGTTTGTTCTTCTTATTTCTTCAAGTGATTTGTAAATATTTATGTTGCTGGTTGAGCTTCATGTACCTACTAATGCTTCAAGTAGAAAGGTGCTACAAGCTATGTGCTTTGCTAGTCTTTTCTATAAAATTATGTCGGAAAAGAAATGTTGACCAAGTTTTATGTCTGGGATTGCAATTGGAGAGTAGTTTCTATAGCATTTGCTTAATTTTTATGGTGTTTACTCTTTTTCCACAATTGGCAATCCACCATTCTGCTGTTGTCTTGTGATAACTGTGCACTCTGACTAGTGATAGCAATCATTTGTAATTTCATCTGGGATTTATCAAGCATCAGGTTTGACAAGTTCGTCACATTGCAGGAACTCTTGACAAGGCACAAATCAACTGTAGCTGAATTCCTTTCAAAGAATTACGACTGGGTAAAGGATTTTGGTTTGCTGCATGCATATTCTGTTATCTCTCTCTGTTGCCCCTCCCTCTCTCAGTGTGCCTGTGTGTCTAACAAATATCGAATGTACCCTATTTGGAGCTTCAACAAAAGATTTTCTTGGATATTTTGTAAGTCTAGCTGTTAAAAGTTTTGTTATTGCATTAGTTTAATTTATGTTTTGGCATCAGGGATTCAGGATCACAATACTTATTCAGTTAATTCTACTTTTTGTAAGAAATTCAGTTAATTCTGGACCTCCCTACCCTGTGATGCTCGTGTTGTTGATCTGGCATGATATTATATGATTCTTGTGTAGCTGCTTTGACATGCTTGGGAAGCTTTTCTACTTGGTTGTCTAATAATGTTCTTGAATGTGTTTAGGAGCTGTTGTTTATATTACAAATAATGTGATGATTGAAATACTGAATCAGCATTTCTCTGTGCTTCCCCTATTTTGAATATTAATCTCAGTCGACCTTTTGTTGTTGTTCCTAATGGTTCTTCTTAGCAAGGATTGACATTTTGTTATGGAGCAATTGTAGACTGCTATTAAGTATCTAATGTGAAATCTGATATCACAAGATGCCAATGATCAATACTTGTATCGGTTTATTACATCTGTTGCTTTCTGTGTGCAACATGATTCTTTGCCTAAGCAATCTATGTTACCTTCTTCTTTCTCTTTTCTTTTCTTTAATATGTAGAAAAAAACTCCCATGGCAAGCTATGCTTTAGATCCTGATTAATGTTCATGGTTGCAGTTTTTTGCTGAATATAACTCAAAGCTGCTTGAATCTCCAAACTACATTACCAGAAGGCAAGCTGTCAAGGTAGGGTTTGGATTGTGATTGTACCTTGTATGGTTATCTAATTTCTATTGCTCAGTCTTGTTTCTTGTCTTTGATATATTTATTTACAATAAAATGTTAATTCTGCCATTCTGTAGGGCCTTACTGTGACATATTTGATTTGCATATTCACTATGGCGTATATTATGAGAGAATTCTGTCCATTCAATTTTATGTATGTTGATTGAAAATGGTGTATGTGCTTACTTAACGGTTTATTGAGATGCAAGGAGTAGTAGTTTTCCAATGAAGGCATCTGCATAAGTGTTCCTTAATCTATGCCTTTCAACATTTTTTTTTCAAACTAGGAGGAATATTGAGAAAAGGATTGGAATTATAGTTGTTAAAATTTCTAAAAGCCAGGCATACAGGAGAAAATGAAGGCCATCTTGTAGTAAATTTGTGTTCAGGGGTTTCTCTCCATTCTTTTTGAAGTGCGAGTCTCTCTGTTATTAAGAGTTCCAAAATTTTAACTCTTTAGTTTGCATTCTCTTACTCAAGTGAACTGAAGAGCTATACCATGGCACATGCATCTGATGCATTTATTCTGTCCATTTGGCCTTCTTTTATCCTATCAGCCAAAGAAAATTTAGGCGTTCATAGGATTGATTGTAATTTATCGTTTTAGTCCAGTATTTATTATTATTATTATTATTATTTCTGTTTGAAAAGTTATTGTTTAAGACAATTATTCTTTTGGTGGTCACAGTTGCTGGGGATATGCTGCTTGACCGCTCAAATTCAGCTGTCATGACTCGATATGTTAGCTCAAGAGACAACTTGAGGATTCTAATGAATCTTCTTAGAGTATGTTTTCTCCTCTTGATTGAGAAATACCATTTGGTTGGGCCTCTCTGTCTCTCTCTCTTCTTGGCGTAAATAAAGATATTGAAATAGTCTGGAGATCATCTTACTGCAACAATGTAATAAAGAAATTGTTCTAAACGAATAGATAGATATTGGCTAAGGTCAAATCTTATTGTACTTTGAATGTGTCATTCACCAAACTCCCTTTTCTTCCTTTCTTGCCCCTTGCTGTTGTAGACGGTGAACTATATTTTGTTCTTTTGTCTCTTTTGATCTGTTACATCTGTTGTTCCATACTGAACAAACACTTGTTCTCTGGCAGGAATCCAGCAAGAGCATTCAGATTGAAGCATTTCATGTTTTTAAGGTATTGCTTCGTATCTCAACCACCCTGGTATATGCTTTGCCAAGAAATCAAGGCCAGGTTGGTGTTGGTTCTTCCTGACCAAAAATGCAATTTTTGTCCCACAGTTATTCGCTGCCAATCAACATAAGCCCCCAGATATCGTTAGCATCCTTGTGGCAAATAGAAGCAAACTTCTGCGCCTCTTTGCTGATTTCAAGTTGGATAAAGGTAAGAGAGAACAAACATGGACGGTTTACCCTCTCCTGGAGCTTATTGGGTTTAGCGCATTCTAATTCTAGTTGTTTGCGTCTTGGTGCAGAGGATGAACAGTTTGAGGCTGACAAAGCCCAAGTTGTCAGAGAAATTGCTGCGCTAGAGCCGAAAGAGGGCCCATGAATGCGGCTTTGTGTAGTTCCATTAGTTGACATGGCCATGTTATTGTAATATCTGTCGGGAGTTATTTTCTTCCCTCCATTTTATTTGCAACGATAGTTTCTAGTGACAGAATATCTGGAAACATGGACCCCCTTTTCGTAAAGCTTTTCATTTCTTTTTCTTCTTCTTTAGTTTGCTGGAGGCTTCTATATTCCGGATACAAAGCTGGAAGACGATACGTTCAGCAAGAGAGAGAGATGTGAATACGAATGTGAATGGTGCATGATATATGACAGCGAGGAATGTACATGGCTGGTATTATTATATTAATAAGAATGTAAACCTTCAAAGCATTTTGCAGACTTGTTGGTATCTTGAGCATTGTAGAGGAAAAACCTGTGTGCTGCAGCAAATGAATATGGTTAAGAAGCTGTAGTGTTCTGTTCTGAATTCTTGATCTAGTTTTTGTTTTGTTCGTTAAAAGGAAGGTGAAGAATGCTTTTTTTTTTTTTTTTAATAAAATTTTTAATCATTATGACAATTTAAGTGTACAAGTCAATGGAAGAAAGCAAAAGAGAACAAATAGTAATTGTCTAATGTAGCAGTATTTGTCAAGTAATCAAAGAAGGTCCTAAATAAAGTCGCAGTCCGGTGCACGGTTTCATGGTAGCTTTCAGATGAGAGGAGAAATGGTGTCGAGAATAATAATAGAAGCCTTCAACAGGAAACAATCAAAATAATTCGCCAGATGGAATCAGAATTTTGGCATATTCCTCAGCATCGCCCTTTCTGTCAGGCTGCTTGGTGGAAATTCTCGTGTTCGCTTCCTCTCTCTCTCTCTCTCGATACAACTAAAATCAAAACCTGTTTTTAGCCGTACGAAAAATGAAACAAATGTTACCATCTGGTTGGTTCCAGAACGGCTGATTTTTTTAAGAACCAGGAAAAAGAATAAAAAAGGGCTGCCTTTCCATTTTATGTAAGCTAGCGTGGAACATCTAATGAGCATATTACGAGTTGTTGTAGCAACCAAATAATGCAGGCGAGAATTTTCAAGAATGTTTTATTCGCTCCGATCTCCAAGGATATCTACCTTTCAATCATGTTTAACCCTCCCTATTGATCCTCCTTTTTCCTTTTTTAACAAAAAAAAAAAAAAAATATCATGTTCAACCCTTTTTAATTAAAAGTTTAGGCAGTCTCGTTCATATCAAAACTTGTTTTGTTATTTCAAAATCATAAGCGGAATTGGTTCAAGTTGAATTTGGAATCAAAATTGGCAAGTCGGACTCATTATTTGAAGTGTTTTAAAAAGCTAATAAGGTGAAAATGCTACTAATATTATATAACCAGATCAATTGATTTCAGGTATCCCCTGTTCCTAGTCCCAACTCCTTAGCTTTAGTACTAATCAGTGTGACCAGTCGTCCCATAAATAAATAAAACAAAATAAAAAATGCCTATAAATTACACCCCCCTGCTACTAGCAAAATAGTTGGAGGCTGCCTGCCCTGTTTCAATTCCATCCCCCCATGCAACGAAGCATCGGCAGTCCTTGTTTTGGTATCAGCCAAATTACGAGTACCAGTTGGATCTAAAAGCGTCCAACCGTCCATCATCCCCAACCCGCTACACCCCCACCCACTCCATTTCTCTTCACGTCTGCGTCGCCCTCTTTTTCCCCCAGGAGTGAAGAATGGCCCAAAATGGTAGGACCCCAATTAATGTTTTCACGTCTAGAATTTCTTTTCCTCTTTTTTTGCATGTATCTGTTATTTGATTGTGAAGGAAATTGTGCTGTCGCTGTTTGTAACATGTTTCTTGGGACTGAAAATTCGTTTCTTGATTGAAATCAGTGGAGGAATTCCTGTCCGTTGCAGTGGATGCCGCAAAGAAAGCTGGAGAGGTGAATACTCTCACACTCATTCAACCAATTTTCTTCTTTTCAAGTTTAACGCTTTCTCCATTGTTGCTTTTCCCTTGAGTTGCTTGATTGATTTCCTAAGCTCCCCCACCCCCTTCAATTTGTTTGATAGCTTTTATTTTATGTTTTTTCGCCTTCAACATCTTCAAAAAGGTTGTCATTTTGGGTTTACTTTACTTTTCATTTTTCTCTTTCATCTTAACAGTTAATCGTAATGGGTTCTATCAGACCAAGCATGTGGAGCATAAAAGCCAGGTGTGGTGAACTTTTATTGTTTCCCCTTCGAAGTTCATTGAGCTCTGTTCTGCTGGTGTTCACCTTTTTGTCTTTGAAGTTCGCATGAAAGGCCAAAACTTTTGAGATCATGTCTTCAGTCTGGGGAATTTTTCGATTTTGATTTTGTTGCTGATACTTTCAAATTTGACCGATTGCCGTTAATTGTGACTAATGTGATTTTACTTGATTAACGGTGGAAAGATTGATTTTGTAGTTTCCGCTACATTCAAATTCATTGGTAGTTTCCGCCAATGGGAGTTGGGTACGGTATAAGGGAAAATTGTTCAATGACGACAAAACAAAGATTTTCAGGATTTTGGAATGCTTATATATGTGGTTTCTTGATGCCCACATGAAGGCAAGATGTTCAATGCTTGCTACAATGGGGCGTGGAGGTTCAAAATTCTAAGAGCAAGGACCATTTTTAGTTGTTTACAATTGCATGTGATATGTGGTGCGGTTTTTTTTTCCCCTGCACTTTTCCTATACATTTTTTGAGGACTAATTTTCTATACACTGATAGTATATACACTTTCATCATTAGATACATAACATATAATCCGAATTTGAATTTGAAATCCAAATTTTGCATGTGTCATACATACAACTATAATAGTGTATACAGTTTACTCTCTTTTTAAAGGCTCAATGACAATTGGTTATTGTTTACCTTCCACGCTATCATCCCTGCAATGAAGGTGGATTTGGTCACCGAAACTGACAAAGCATGTGAAGATCTCATATTCAATCACCTTAAGCAACATTTTCCAAGCCACAAGGTAAACTGTCATTATTCTGTATGCCTTGTTTTGGGCTGGGCAGTGTAGTTTGAATTGTGCTTGATGAGGATGTGTGTTTTTTTTTAATGACATTTGCACTAATATTTGTTCTAATAATCTGCTCCTGCTAGTTCATTGGAGAAGAAACTACTGCTGCTTGTGGTGTCACAGAGCTAACTGATGAACCAACTTGGATTGTTGATCCCCTCGATGGAACAACAAACTTTGTGCATGGGTAAAAATTTGGCCTTGCCAATAAGCATAGCTATTGAGACAGACTTTCTGATATATGGCAAGTTACTAAAGCAATTTACTTTGATAATATGGTGACTCGTAGGTTCCCTTTTGTGTGCGTTTCTATTGGTCTTACACTTGGAAAGGTTCCAACAGTTGGTGTTGTCTACAATCCCATTATAGATGAGGTGAGACACTATGTTTTTTATTACGAAAAACCTACTTGTTTGGTATTTGAACTATCAATGTTAGAGAAATGTACATGTGTAGAAAGCTAAGAAATAAAGCCAGAGGGATCTGTCTTAAATAATTGAAATGTTTCATGAGTAATTTCTGTAGTGTCTGCCTGAGTCCATCTTGCAAACCTGTTAAGCACGACGCTTCTGTTTTCTTGTTCCCTTCATGCTATTGAGGTTCCTTTATCCAGTGGATAGTGGGTTTCCAAAATTATGCTCATCATGCTCACAAATAGCAAATCCAATAGATGTATAGCAACAAATGCTGATTGAGTTGTGGCACCAAAAAATAATAATAAATAAATAAAAAATTGCTGGTTGAGTTGAAAAACTCTTTCTTCTACTTTGCAGCTTTTCACTGGGATAGAGGGGAAAGGAGCTTTTCTGAATGGAAAACCAATAAAAGGTAAGTTTACTTCTGCAATTAGTGTGCTATATTTTGATGCTATTCAAACTTGAAACCTCTCAGTAACTCCTTTTGTTCATATGCAGTGTCTTCTCAGTCTGAACTCGTGAAGTCTCTTCTTGCTACAGAGGTAGGTATTCAGCTATACGTAGCTAAACACATACTGGTATCTTTTTCATGGAACCATTGGGTAACTCTTCATCCATCAGCTGTAGCACATTTTAAGAATGTATGCTGGTTACAACATTGAGGCCTTCCCTCATTTTATACTTGTGAACACCACCAGCTTTCTTCAGCAACATGAACGTATCATAAGCATGCAGAAATAGAACATTGAATGAAGTTTTTGGTAATAATTTAAGTTCTTGTAGACCATGGACATTTTTTCAGTGACAGATTATGTTTTTGATGAGCCTTGTCTATTTCTTTTACCCTTTTAAAATTTGCATTAAGCATTCCTGTTTGAATAACTAGCTCGAAAAGCGCTATAGCTTTGCCCTTTGGAACATCGAGACATTGGTTCTGATCCAGCAGCATCAGATTGTGGATGACTTCATTTGATCCTTCTTCACTCTCTCTCTCATGTGTGAATTCTATGAGATAGTACAAACTAGCATAAAGTTTATTCATCTTAAATTGTGGATGTTTAGTTTGCTTCCACCTACTGAATGAATGATTCCTGGAAGCAGGCTGGACAAAGCGTGATAAACTAACTGTGGACACCTGTACGAACAAAATTAACAGTTTACTGTTCAAGGTAAAATAAATCCTTGCAATGGGATCAGGAGTTTAAATATAGTTTTTAAATTGCATAATTAATATTACTTGTTTCTCAATGCATCAGGTGAGGTCTCTTCGGATGAGTGGCTCCTGTGCTTTAAATCTCTGTGGTATTGCATGTGGAAGGCTTGATCTCTTTTATGAACTTGGATATGGAGGCCCTTGGGATGTGGCAGGTGGTGCTCTCATTGTTAAAGAAGCTGGAGGTGTTCTGTTTGATCCGTAAGTCCTCTGAACTTCTGACATCTTCCTGGTCTATTAAAAGAATTGGATCTGCATGCTGCTCATCAGTAGTTCTGGAGTTCAGAATGTCGTTCCAAAATGAAACATGCCAAGTCTCTAAATGTCGCATCCGTAGATATAGCACTGAATTTTATAATTGCTTTAACTTAATATATGACGAGAGGCTATTTATCAGTATTGCATGTTGCTTTTGCTGCAGGTCTGGTGCTGATTTTGATATCACCTCGCAAAGAATAGCAGCTTCAAATCCTCTTCTCAAGGATGCCTTCATTGAGGCATTGCAGCAATCCAAATGAGAGAAACATGGTAACTCAGAGAGCTACCACAACAGTTCCGTAACAGTCACCTTCTTATATATTATGAAGAATTACAGATTATTCATCTATTCAGTTCACATCAAAGGCTTTAGAAGCACTCTAATTAGCTGGAAAATGGCCTAGTCAGTTTTACTGAGTTGCAAAATATTAGCTGCACCAAATGCGCTGTAGTGTCCAATTGATATGACTACCTTAGTTCCAAGTTCACCCTACATTGGATGGAGCTCCTAAAAATGCTTTTTCTTGATATCTGAA